GAAGAGCATCTATACGATTCCCACATCCACCAGTGCCGAACAAATCAATCTACAATAAACGAGCGAGGGCCTTTATGTTTGATCGATCAATTTCTTATCAAATGCATTTCTAAACTAAAACATTAATATTCTTATTGGAACTTCCAGAAATAGGGGTCTTAAACAAACCACTTTTCGAAGTGGATAGAAGCCAAGGCGCTCACCTGAATAACCACTGCTACAATCCACAATTTCACATGGACAGAGCTCATTTGTCGATATAGGCTCCCACTAGTCCTCATAACCAATAACAACACTCAATTCACTGACAAGAGTGTGAAAGGGTTCTATCAAAACCAAGGCATAAACCTAAAGTTTACATCCACACGTCACCCTCGTACTAATGGTCAAGCTTAAGCGGCCAACAAAATCATTATGAATCTCTTGAAAAAATGGTTGAAGGAGCAAAATGAAGTTGGGTGGACCTCCTATCATCAGTATTATGGGCCATCCAAACATCACCTTCGACGACAACAGAAAAAACTCCATTCAAGTAATCCGATGTCATGGAAACAATGTTGTCAGTGGAGTATAATCATTCCAACCAAAAGACTGTTACAACCTATGCCTTCAATGACGAAAGCTTAATAGAATGGCGAGAGGCTATTGATGGAGTCAAACTTGCATTTGGTCTTGATGAAGAAATCCATTCTAACTTGGCCCTTCACCAAGAAGAGATTAAGAGTGCACCTCTGCATACTTCAACAAACATGTGAGGGAAAGAACCTTCACCCCATGGGACCTCGTCCTGAAAAAAGTCAATCTAGTTACCCAAGGACAAGCAACCGACAAGCTTGACCAAAGGTGGATAGTTCCATTCATCATCACCTAGAAAGTCACCCTAGGGGCTTACCGATTTGAGACATACATGGGAGACGACATACCTAAGGCCTACAGCAAAGATGAACTGAAACAATTTTTTTTGTAAAGCTTGAACATGGTTGTAATGACTAATTAAATATAAAATTTTTTGCATGCTTGTTCCATGCATATATTTTTTTTTCTTTTGTTTTTGAAGTGTGCTCTTTTGTTTGGACACATGTGCATTTAGATGATGACTCTTCAAGACATTTGTGCTGGGTGGGAGTTATTAGGTTGCTTACCCCAGAGGGGAGCTTTTAGGTTGCTCGCTTCAAAGGGAGTCTTCAAGTTAGTTGCCCCAAAGAGGAGCCTAAAGGTTTCTCACCATGGAGGGGAGTCTTTAGGTTTCTCGCTCGAGAGGGGAGTCATTAGGTTTGAGTTTTTCGTGCAAGTAACAATTCAGAAATTAAAGAGAATAAAAAGTACTGAAATGGAGACGTTTTTCTTTCTCATTATATTTGCTAATGTTCAAACAAGAAGTTTTTTCTTAAGGAAAGAATTGTTTCAGTTCATCTTTGTTGTGGGCCTTAGGTATGTCGTCTCCCGTGTATGTCTCGAGTCGGTAAGCCGCTGGAACGACTTTCTTGGCAATGATGAATGGACCTATCCACCTTTGGTCAAGCTTATCAGCTGCTTGTCCTTGGGTAACTAGATTGGTTTTTTTCAGGACAAGGTCCCACGGGGTAAAGGTTCTTTCCCTCACATGTTTGTTGAAGTATGCAGAGGTGCACTCTTAATCTCTTCTTGGTGAAGTGCCAAGTCAGAACGGATTTCTTCATCAAGATCAAATGCAAGTTTGACTCCTTCATCATTAGGCTCTCTCCATTCTATTAAGCGTTCGTCATTGAAGGCATAGGCTATAACAGTCTTTTGGTTGGGATGATTATACTTCACTGGTAGCTATGTTTCCA